ATAAAAGATATATAAAAAACATGTCTATCAAGTGTTTTGCTCAAAATCCCAAACAGATCACCCATTCTAGCCATGCCTCATATCCCTCTATTTCACTTCCTGTTTCAAAAGTGCTGATTTTGGGTATAAAGCTTTAAAAATAAAAATAAATTATTTTTAAAAAGAGGGGCGGAGCTTATGCGGGACCCGGCAGCTACTGTCTAAACTAAATACTGCCGTGATGAAACACCATATCATGGATTATCAAGGATTATCTCTGAAACAGTTTGGAGCTCAAAGGCTTTCTCTCTTGCCGGTTATACCACAAGGTGAGTTCCTTTTTATTTCCTGCTTCTTCACACACATGCTCTCCAGTACAGGTTAGCTCTGAGTGTTAGCGATGCTAATGTAAACACCGACCATATTACGTCCAAAACAGTCGGGCATTGTTTCTGATAGCAACGTTTCTGATAGGGCCGTGGGTCCACATTTCAGATATTACGTCATATCGGACGCAACTCTGGATCAGCTCCGTTGTAGCCCCGTTTTTAGAGATTTGGGTACGGAGGANCTTAAAAAATAGTTTTACTTTTTAAGAGTGAAAAAGACTTTTACATCTGAAAAAGAGCTTAAGGAGTGAAAAAGAAGTTTTAGAGTTTAAAGAGTTGAAAAAGACTTATAATTTTTACAATTATTAGGGACCGGGGGCCGAAGCTCAACTTAGAGTGCTAGGGACATAGACACTAGGAGAGGTCTTAGAGTCATCAGTAGTGTATGTCTCGTAGTTGATCAAGGACCTTGTCACAGGAAAGGTACGACTATAGGGTTCTCTCCCTCAATGTGTTCAGTGTTCTACTCCTTTATCTTCGTCATAAGTTACAAATGAAGTCTAATCGAGGGTGCAGTCTTTACTAGTACGGAACCTAGTATACAGAGAGAGGGTATCTCGACTTAGTAGTACAATTAGTGTATCGATAGTATACGGAGGTTTTGTCAGGACTACGAGAAGATCCATTGTCAGGTGTGGACAGTACAAAGTGTCGGATGTCAACCCTATGAAACAATAGTACAACGAGAGTACAAACCTTCTCGCTATGTAGTCATAAAAGGGTTGTACAGAGACAGGACGTTCTGAGCATGGGCCCACGACACCAAGGGAGGTCACCAAGTCCACCTCTCCAGACCCGAAGGTACACAGGCCACCTCCGGAGACCTCTCCTCCAGTGTCCCCCAGGTGGAGACCCAAGACCCGCCCACTGCCACGTGGCCCGTGCGAGACCTCGGTCGACTTCTAGGTCGGAGTCGAGAGGAAGTGGAGGAAGGAGACGAGGCAGACGCCCCTTCCTCCTCCTCCTCCTCCTCCTCCTCCTCGTCGCGGGAGGCGACCCGAGTCGAGGTCGTCGTAGCGAGGAAGTAGTATCCACCCAAAAATTCAAGTTTACGAGAAAATTTATAGAGGAAAAAAAAACAATATTATGAAATAAAAAATTCAGCAACTTCGGTGTAATGTTGTTTGTATTGTTTGTTGTGATCCAGTGGTCTCCGTCATATAATGTACTTATACAAGTGTCGGTTAATCAGGTCTACACACAACTGACGTCAGGTTCGTATTCTCCGATAATCTAAGTACATATTGTGTAAACATCCACCAGTAGCGTTCCGTTTGGCGTGCTGTTCTTTGGTCGTTAATATACTAGGAAAGAATAGTACATCAAATAAAAAGTAAATCTAGAATAGTGTCAACAACCGGTACAGCCTAACATTAACAAAATAAATTATACAACTAAACACCTCCTTTAGTGATTGTAACTTAGTGGATGACCATTCTTTACTTGTGGAGCTCTTCTATGTCCTTCCTGTCTACTTGACCTGCGTTGCACACGAGGTCCCTAGACTGGGGCCAATTATTGTTTTGTGTCCTTTGTCGGCTCCCACCCTATGAAAATAACATCCCGACATGGGCTTATAACACAATCAACCTCATGATAAGCCCAAAGTTAAAGCAATAAGCCTATAAGCAAAACAAACAAAGAAAAGCAAAAGAAAGGCAAAAAATAATTTAGAGTTATGGTTGGATTCTCGAAACACGGCGAACGCCACGATTGTGAATGGTGCAATTAGTGTGAATAGAGGCAGTGCAACAAAGAGTAATCGTTGTTGTTGAAGGACAGTTGTCACGATGGAGAGGAAGTTTTATTTTCGTACAGGTATTTATCCTTCGTCTCGGTTTTAATGTGAATTCTGTAATTTGACGACGTTGCCTTCATTGTTTTGTGTTACGCTATAGGAAAAGTTAAAGTTTCTTGTGTTTAACCCAAAGTAATTGTTATTGATTTTGTGTATTGACCATTTATTGATTTACTAACAGCACTTATTGGCTTTATGTGCACAACTTCGCCCAAGCTGATCGTATCTATATGAGCGTATCAATCTATAAGAATACCGTATGACACGCAAAAGCGGTCAAATTTACACAATTATATGATATGACACCGTAAATCCTGAAACAAGTTAATGTAAAAAAATGTACTTTGTGTTAAACATTGGTACCTTAACTTAAACTCGTTAAGAACATAGTAAGGAGACTTGTAAGAAATTTTGATGTCCCGTAAAGAAACGATTTTATAAAAAACCGTATGGACACGAGAATACTGTAAAATTTCCTACTTTTTTAACCTTTAAGTTGTGAGATACTGTAAGTTTTTAATAAAATTATAAAAACTGTTGATATGTTAATAAAAATTATTTTACACAGGCACTTTAAGAAAGATTGGTACTGAAAATTACATCCATTAACTATACACTGTAACAAATCCGTTAAGTCAGACTAGACACAACACACACACACACACACACACACACACACAACAACACACACAACACACACACAACACACACACACACCACACCACACCACACCAACCACACACACACACACACACACACACACACCAGGCACACAAAAACCCCTCAACTACTTTCTTTGTCGTGAGCGTCGTCTGTCTACGTATTACCTACTCTACCCCCCCTCCCCCTCCCCCTCCCTCCCCGAAAGCAGCGGTTAAATCCTTTTTACAGAGAGAAGGCACAGCTGCCCCTTAGTTTGACTTCTGTCACAAACCACAGACACCAGAAGTGAGGGGTTTTTTTTTTTCTTTTTTTTTTTTTTTTTTTTTTTTTTAAAAAGTTGACACACACACACACACACACACACACACACACACAACACACACACACACACCACACCAACACACACACACACACAACACACACCACACACACACACACACAACAACACACCACCACACACCACGACCGTCATCAAACCACCGTCGGGAAAACGTCTTTGTTGTTGAGGACTGTTAAGTTGATATCGAGCTGGTAGCTCTCAGACACTTAAACAGCGAGCCTCCTTTTCTTTAAGTAAAAGTCTTGTTTGCGAGGAGAAATTAGAACAAATGTACTTACCAGGACTGGTTTCTATTGGGGGTCGTCGTTTCCTTGCTACAAAGTCACCAATTATTCTTCTCTGTAAACGTAAGATGTTTTTTTGTCTAAAACCTTCGTAACCCGTTTTGTTTTACAGATTGTCATCTCAAGTAAACACTTATTATTTTTTTTCCCTTTACGTTTTATACCTTGTGTGGATTAATAAATAGTTATACTAACAACTAATTTATTTTAACTCCGTATTGTATGAGCACAAAAGGAACTAAAATCTATATTTATTGATTCCAGTCTCGTTATTGTGCTATATAGAAATATTGATATTTCTTTACACTGTTATATATAAAAAGATAGGAACTTATAAGACAAAGAAATTAAATAGTGGATTTTCCTCTTTTTATGATAAATAAACGGTCTCTTAAGTAAAAAAAAAAAGACATTCTTGATTTAGAATTTGACTGTTTAGTGTTGTCTCGGCCGGTTCGGATTGGTTAGTCATCGGTCCGACCCGGAGACCAAAGTCTGTTCTCCCACTTTGCTCCACCGACGTCGTGTCCGTCATACTTCTTTTTTAATTTCCGAAAAAACTTGTAATTTCGTACCTCTGTACAGGGTTCCTTCTTGTGATATGTATGACTAATATGTGGACTTGCAGTTCGTCCTCTCCTGAGAAATTTCATCTCTGTGATGTATGGACTATATAGTGGAACTTGTAGTCCGTCCTCTCACTGAGAAATTTCATCTCTGTGATGATTGACTATATGTGGACTTGTAGTCTTCCTCTCCTGAGAAATTCAATCTCCTGTGATGTATGACTATATGTGACTGTAGTCGTCCTCTCCTGAGAAATTTCATCTCTGTGATGTATGGACTTATATGTGGAACTTTGTAGTCATCCTTCGTCCTGAGAAATTTCATCTCTGTGATGATGACTATATGTGGACTTGTAGTCCGTCCTCTCCTGAGAAATTTCATCTCTGTGATGTATGACTTAGTATTGGACTTGTAGTCGTCCATCTTCCTGAGTAAATTTCATACTCTGTGATTGTATGACAATGTGACTTTGAGTCGTCCTCTCCTGGAAATTTCATCTCTGTGATTGTATGACTAATATGTGGACTTGTAGTCGTCCTCTCCTGAGAAATTTCTCTGTGATGTATTGACTTATAGTGGACTTGTAGCGTCCCTCTGAGAAAATTCATCTCTGTGATGTATTGACTGTATGTGGACTTGTAGCGTCCTCTCCTGAGAAATCTTCTTCTGTGATGTATGACTATAGTGTGTACTTGAGTATGTCCCGTTTTCCCTCTCCCGAGAATTTCACCTCTGGTGATTTTATGACTATATGTGGACTTGTAGTCCGTCCTTTCCTGAGGAAAAAAAAAATTTCATCTCTCGTGATGTATGACTAATGTGCGACCTTGTAGTCGTCCCTCTCCTGAGAAATTTCATCTCTGTGATGTATGACTATATGTGGACTTGTAGTTCGGTCCTCTCCGAGAAATGTTTCACTCTGTATGTATGACTATATAGTGGGACTTGTAGTCGTCCTCTACCTGAGAAATTTTCATCTTTGTTGATGTATGACATATGTGGACTTGTAGTCGTCCGTCTCCTGAAGAAATTTCATCTCTGTGATGTATGACTATATGTGGACCTTGTTGTCGTCCTTATAACAGAAAAACTGTTAAAAGACGGTAACATAACTGTTTTCCTGATTAACTAATAAGTCTATTATTCCTCTACTGCTTAGTAAAATTATATAAACTCTGAATCATTCAAACGAGAGTCAATTATCGTGTCACGTCGTCCCAAAAAAACCTTTACCTCAATAACCTACTTCAAAGTAAAAAGTATTTCAACCTCCAATTAATCACTCTCTTTGGAGGGTTGAAAACGGAGGTGTCAAAGAGAGCCCTACTTCTTTCATCGAACCAAACCAACATCTTTACCCAAATTTCGAAATGACGACAGTCGTGCCCCTAATTTGGAGACTTTGAAAAGGACTCAAAACGTCACAGAGGCAATCACACAAGTAAGAAAATTTCCCAAAAAAAATCCCAAAAGGAAAAGGACATCACACAAATATCCAAAACACGTACACTACCCGACCGTTTCCGATTTAGGAAGAGGGTGTGTGAGGGGGACGGACTTTGTGGAGGTAACCTGAATGAAGGGACTTTGTAAATTACTGTAGTGATGCGTTGTGAGTGCAGAGATTAACCGATCGCGAGGTTGTGTAACTTGCAACAACACATACCTTCGAAGCTTACGTTCTTGTTTCGCTCAGGTTTGACTTACGCTGCAAAAAAATGAATATATATTTATATTGTCAAAGGTTGTTCTATGCCATCATTAGTGAGCTGTTTGAGTATGTATTTGGCCTTTCTCTTTCTCGTCCCATGTATGAACGTGAAGTTTTATTTTCGTGGCAAGAAAGCAGTCCTTCGTTTGCTTGTTAATAAATATACAAAATTAATTCAATGTTTTTGCACTATTCCTATTCCCCGCCCTGAGGATTTCGCCTAACTGAAATGGTATAAAATAACATAGAAAATATACGTAAATTAAAGAATATAGGATATATAGGAATAAAGAAAATAACGTGTAAGAAGATGAAGAATAGGCAACGGGGCCTCACTACTTGCCATAATAAGACTAACTAGGATACTAACATGCCTGTCCAAACAGAACTAACAACTCAAAGGAGAGGGTGTGGAGGGACCCACAAAGAGTACAGCTCCTGCATAAAAAGTAAGAATTTTGACAAAGACAGAATTTTGAGATTTTGAAAAAAATTCAGAATTTTGACAAAAAGTCAGAATTTTGACAAAAAGTCAGAATTTTGAGAAAGAGTCAGAATTTTGAGATTTCCAGAAAGAAAGCCAACATTTTGAGAAAAAACTCAGTAATGTACATGACAGGATGTACAAGAACCGGTATTCCTCCTTCTTGTCTTGTCTATCAGCA